AAAGATCTACCCGATTTTTTGTCAAAAATACGCATACTCGCTACCTTATCCTTTAGAGATTCTATTGTAATATAAAACTTTGTTTATTAAACTAGGTGCTTAATGTTTGTTACATTTACAGCAAAAGCCCTGTTTCCACATAGCCCCGAATTTTGCCAAAAAAATTGCGCCACGCGTCACTTTTAGCTCTGCCACATTTTTGTATATATAAACCTCTTGTTTTTATTCAACTTAAAAAATTTACTTCTACTCAACACTTATATTTAATTACCCACTTTACTGAATAGTTTGATATTCTATTATTAAAAAAATTTTCCAGCAAATTAACTTATGCTTAAAATGAAAAATTTCTCCCACTTAATACTTATACACCTTAGTATTAATATAAAATAAAAAATTATTTTTCTTATCCATAGATTCACTCCAAAGATTAAGCTAGACCTGAGATGGTCTAACAAATTATTTTTAATCATTTGTATTGATTGCATCAGCAAATTATGTGATTGGAATTTTTCATTAATTTAATAATAAACATTCACTTTATTCACATCAAACCCATTTAATCATATTTTTATGTTAACAAGTTTTTCTTATTTTAAATAATTTTTTTAGATTAAACAATCATATACTTCTATATTCTTCTAATTTTTACTTTTTAGAGACAAATGGATCAACTGGATGTATTTCACTCAAAAACTGTCCATTTCTTGAATAAATTTCAAGGAATTAAACATTAACAGTATTCAAATAAATGCTAAGAATATTTTTGAAAAGAATAATAAAGAATATATTCTGATCGATTATTCAACATAGCATATAGGATTGTTAAGTTTATACAATATATTGTACAATCAATAATCTTTAAATGATCATTTAATTTAAATTTTTAGTTATGCATTTAAGTTATTTCTTAATTAACAACTCTTCTCACTTGAAACTTCAGTGAATTACTATATTTATAATTATCACTATCTAAAACATGCATGAAATTTTTTTATTAAAATAGTAATATGAACAAATATATTTGATAATACACATTTCTTTACCAACTATATTAATGGATAATTCAATTTTATTTATATAATTTGGGCTCTTTAATCATTTTCAAACATTTGTTCACTATATTTTATTAAAAGTCACATTTTCTTTTGTTTATTAGGTGTCCCATTTTTTACTTTCAGCTATTAGACATCACATCTTTGTAATTAAGCTTTCATTTAGAAAATTAAAGAACTTTTGACTTTAAACCCTTATCTGATGATATATTCTAAAGAAAACTATGTATTACTGTTTATTGCTCATGATTTTCCCCACTTAGATAGAAATCAATATACAATTGATAAGAAAAAGGAACATTTCATAATATAATTAATATACATTATAAATTTGGATGTATGAAGGGTATATGAACATTTCAACAATTTAAATATAGCAAACATACATATATAAAGACAAATTTCTCTTGAAATATTCTTGGACTTATATATAAAGATTTATTGAAAATAAAATTTAAATATCCTATTTACAGCCTTTGCAAATAACATAATTTGGACATGAATAGCTAATTCCGAAGAGCAATTCTAGATACTATATAATGGATTTTATTAATAAATAGCAAAATAAATGAGAAAATATAATTAAATAATTTTCAGTTGCTAAAGGATAGAACTTACATCAATGATAATATTTCAGTACATCAGATTTACCAAATAATTTTCATTATATAAACTCAAATATCAGTAATATCTCAACAATAAAATCAAGTTATAAGATACCTGTCTAGAAGGAAAAGAAGTCATTATTACAACTAAATTAGGATTGAAAGATATAATCTATTCTTGTCACTTTGTTTAGAATTAGATAGTACAACCTATTTCCTATTATACAGAAATTTGTATATAAAATGGAAGCCCAAAAATCACAAGATTAATTCAAGAAAAATTAAGTTACCTCTATCTTTTTATGTTCAAGTGGTCCCTTTTACTTTTCCAAAACAAGGAAGTATTGAAAAAAAATAACAACTCCACTTTTTTTAACTATTTTATAATAAGCATTCTTATATATATAACCATTGGATTCACACCAGATGAATGTTTTTATTTTTAGTTACAATAAGGAAATTTTATGTTTCTTATATTTTATTGAGAACATTATAGATATTATAGAAACAATTCAAAAAAATGACTTTGCGTATGAATCCATATCTGTTAGCTCTACTTCTAGTTGATTTAACAACAGCTTGAGGGTTAAGCATTTTTCTTTATTTTTTCTTAAAAAAATTTTTTTTAAAAATTGATTGGTCTGATTCTTAAAATATGTCAATCTATTTTTGTCAAGTAATTAAGCCATTTATGACAATAATACATGCTTTATTCATCATCAAAAATTAATATAAATTCCAAAGTTAGCAAAAAAAAAAGCTTTACTAATTTTCACACAATGGTAAACCATCGATAAAATCCCACAAATCATCACAGATTCATAAAAAAATAGAAAATGCAAGCATATTAAAGCCTTAAAAAGTAAAGAAGAAGAACAGAAAATTCAAACTTATTCACAATTTAAAAGTAAAATATCTATTTTATTGGATAATACTACATATATATGTTGGACAATTTAAGAGATTATTATAACAAATTTAAAAGAATAGAAACATTAAATATTCAGAATATATAAAATTTTTAGGAAATTATCAATAAAGAGAATGCAAAGAGCAATGATGATTAAGGTTATAAATCTGATTATGAATATTTTTTGCAACAGTATCATAACAAGTAATGAAATGAAAACAAAGCGTTTAAAATGGAAGATAACTTTCTATATTATAGCGAATCATTTAAGCAAATTTTATACTATAATATTCTTAATATAATCTATCATTTAGGAAATTTATTAATATAATATTAATTATTATGAAAGTTTAATCAGGCTAGCAATTTTTGAAAAATTATGTGTTCAAAATTGCATATTGTATAACCTGATATTCAAGAAGCTTCAAGCAAAGTATCTAGCAAAACTTTAATGTTTTTTTAAGAAGAGCCAGGAGATATTATTTTATTGCATCCCATTGTGAGAAAGGTTCATGGAGAAGTTGTGATATCGCTTCAACTTTTTGGGAGGAAATTTCGGAAGAAAGGTGGGAACAACTTTTAGGTAGTTTGAAGTTAAAAGAAAGTTGGTGTTAAGAATCATAGTATTTTTTCAGCTATTAAACAAAAATTTGGAATTGTAATAATTCTAATTTGGCAAAGAAAAACCATCAGCTAGAAACATACTACTACCTGGGAAGGATCAAGAATTCAGAAAGACACACGAATAATTTTTTGATCTTGAAAATTTATTTTTAAAAAATAATTGTCACTTAGTTCAGGTAAAAAGAAAAAGAAAAAAGTAATGTAACCCAATTTTTTCAATCGACAATTCAACTAATAAGCATTTAAAAAGAGTCCGTCATATGGAAAAAAATCACATAAAATATAAATTTTTAGAGGGTTATTTAACCAGGAGCAAATTAACAAAATTGAAATGGATACAGTGAAACTGCTTTATGCATGTAGTATTATAATAAGTGTCATTATAAAAAGACATCCTATAAAAAACTTATCAGAAAATATGAAAAAAAGTTTTTTTATAGAAGACAATGAAGTATTTCAGATTAATATTTAATTTGTTTAAAATGTAAAAAAATTAGAGAAATGAAAGAACAAAGCAAGTTAAGTAGATATCAAGTAATTTTGGATAAACTATATTGAATAAAATCATCATTTCTTTCTAAATTAAATATATATATTAAATTATTTTTAAGAATTATGAAAGAATTAATAGATAATGATGAGTTGAATTACTAGTATAGACAGAGAATAAATCATACAATAGACTTTAAATTTAAATGGATATATAATTTTGAAAATTTCTTATAAGTTCCAGAATTATTTTTTTTAATAACATTATACTAGAAAATGATAGTTTGAAAGTTTACTACAATTAATTGGAATAATCTTATAATATATTTCCGCCATTATTCAATGATCCAGAGTCATACATCCCTTCAGGGAGTTAAATTTAATAGAAGAAGAAAATAAGACATTTATATATTTTCATAATATTTATATTCTATTTTCAAACAATGACTGCATCTCCCTCATACCTTCCATCACTGAGGCCCATAGAAAGGAGGAGAATATTAATATTTGGAGTTGGGAAAGAAATTATTAATTAAATATCTATTGTATAATAATAGTGATGATATGCATAATTTCTTTAAGACACATTAAGATTATTAATTTTATTACTAAAAAAAGAATTTAAAAAGGAGGAGAATAACAATATTTGGAGTTGGGAACTATTGTATAATAGTAATGATATAGAATAGCAATATTTGGAGTTGGAGAAAGAAATTATCAATCAAATATTTATTGTATAATAGTGATGATAAGCATAATTTCTTTAAAAATTATTGATTTTATTACTAATCTATTTGAACATCACAAGTGCTCAATAATCATAACATATGACTTTTGAAGCATAATATGGCATGGATTAAGCCCTTTAATATGGCAAATCTTTTATAACTGGTTTAAGACAACCCATTCTTAGATTAAATTATAAATATACTAGTGGTCAGATTACATCAACTCAACATAATGATAAGCCTGATAATTTTACCAGTGGTCAGATTATACAAATTATAAATGAACAATAATAATATGCAGGTTGGCTTGATGAGACAAGATCAAGCCATACGAGCGGTAAATTCGAGACAACCAGTTAGATACTGGGTTAGATGCCAACTATAGCTCTGCAAACATATTTAATTAATGGAATTATAATTCTAATTAATACACAATTTAAATATTTGTGCTTATAATATAGATTTCTGTGTAAAGTAAAGTACCATACATTAGCAAACTTTATACTTGATTAATTATTAGGTGATATTGTCAGCCTTAATATATATAGTATTAAAAAAAATTACAAATCAAGATTTTTTTTTTCCGCCAATGAATTCGAGCTTCAAAGATTCAGAAATTAAAGCTTGGAAACAAAAAGTTGCCATTGAAAAATGTTATGATAAGCTATTTAAAAAAATAAGTCCGAAAGGACATGAAATGTATTATCTAGTAATTGCATCTTTAGTTTATTTGTATTGCATTTTTTTTTGAAAAAAAAAATACACAATAATATGTGCATAAAAAGGTTTGGCTTGTTCCTGGTATGCCTCAGTACATATATCTTATTGTTGAAAGGTTGATTATTTAGTCGATCAGTATAATTAACTTTTTGAATTTAAAAGTAAAATAATCTCTTATATCCATCATTTTGATACACAAATTTAATTCTCTTATCAACTATTTTACTTTTTTGTGTATACAGATGATTCTCACTTTTCCAATAAAATCATGTTTTATTATGAAAAATTAATGTAATTAAAAAATCGTAATAATAAAAGTTTTATTCATAAAATTATTTTTTTTTGTATCAAGATTATATGATTTTTAATTTGATTTGAGAAAATAAAAATAACATGGTCTAATCCTTGATATGTATACAAATCATAACCCATTACATAACAATTTTTTATTGGAATTATTTAAAATTTACAAATAATTATATATTTATCTACTTTATGATGTAACAAATAAAATATCAGCAGATGGCAGGCTAGAATTACATTCATCCGCTTGATTGGACAAAGGATTTATTGGAATGATTTATATAACACATTATTGTTGGTTCTTTTGTTGTCTTTTTATAAAATACCAAATAAATTTGTACAACAAAAATTGAAAATTTATTCCATTTTTTGAAATGAAAGCAAACCCCCTTTTCTTTTACTAATGTGGAATGATTAAAAATATTTTCAGGAAATTTACCTGAATTGACAGGTTGAAATTATAGAAAAGATTTTTCAACATTGCATTCATGTATTTTATTTTTGCAAATAGATTATGGTGTCATTTAGCCATCCCATTATGAGAAGATTCATTTTCTGCTCTTACCCAACATTATCATTGTATTGAAACTTATTTATGCTTTTTAAATGAAGATGGTAAAGCAAAGTTTAATGAATATAGAATTAATGATAACTTATTACTTTCAAATACATTACTCAATTATCCTAGCTTTATTATTAAATATTAATGCAAGTAAAATTTGTTTTTCTGTTGAATATTGGATTGGCACTTTAGTGGATAAATATAATGATAAACTTTAGTTCATATGCTATTATTTGAAGTATTTATTAAAATGAAGGAAATTTACATTCTTTAAAGTTATTTATAATGTTATTGAATATTTTAATAATATGGACTTGATTTACAAATCCAAATCTATCACACAATATCGGAATTTAAATTTAAATATTTGTGCTATTTCATCTCAAAATATTACTTCACTTTTGAAATTATTATGTTCTAATTGCAATTCAATCTCATCAATTGATTTTGATTTTTTTAGATATAATATCAAATAAACATTCGTTAATTGAAAAATATTACAAATCATTTGGATCTTTTCATAGTATAATATATAACCCATTTTTATAATTAAAAAATTCTAATTTTTCCAATACTTTAAATTCTAATATGCTTTATTTAATTGATTTTACAAATATGGATCAATTGAATGTTTTAGAACTTATTCTCATTCCCTATATTTAATTTTGTTCAACAAATTATTAATGTTATTAAACCTTTTAAATTGAAATCTTTGTTTATGGGTAAGGTAATACATATTAAATCATTGGGTATTGCTATTACAGAAATTTAGAAAATTTTGATTTGGATTTATGAGTGATGAATATGATAATAAACCAAAACAACAATTATTAATAATTTGATTTGGGTGTACTTGTCATTTATTCATTGAAAATAACATTAATTATCTTACTATTGGAGTGGATTTTAACGAGCAGCCTTTAAATAGATTATTCCTATATATTTATAGTTTTGAAGAAATTACAATTAACTTGGATTTGAATTTCGATCAGAAATAAACTTCGAAAGAGTCAATACTTGAAGGTATTGATTTTCAACAAATTAATTTATCATTTTACCAGATTAGAACATCCAGAACATCTTGAATTTTTACATTGTAAAGGATTTGATAATTGCATAGTATTATCCAAGAGTAAATTATATCTTGAAGAGTTTAAGCTATGGTATTACAGAACTTGGAGAAAAATTTCATCTTGTTAGATGGGATTATCGAGGAACTGGACGAAGTGATGTCAAAGCGTACTCACTTGAATTGAGTAGTCAAGATCTTCACGCCGTAATAACAAAAATTAAAACAGATAAACCAAATAAAAAAATAATTACAGTTGGATATATTTAAACTTTATAGAAGCAAGTTTAAATAGTGAGGAACTTGTAAAATATTTCATCGCTTGATCCAGATTATGAATTTTCAACAATTTCTCATGGATTATCGAATTTTAGCATCACAACGTCTGATCAATTTCGTGCTTTAAAGCTTGGTATTGTACCACTTGGATATCGAAAATTTGAAGTTAAACGTGAGTATTAATTAAAAAATCTTTTTTTTAAAAAAAAATCATTATTATATACAACTAATTAAGAAAATTTTATTTAACTATAGCATTTGATTTTGAAGATTTTTTTAGTTCTTTAGATATTCCAACATTAAATTTTATCGGGGAGAAAGATAATTTAATTACGCTTGATCATAGTTTATAATTTGCAAATCTTGCTAAAAATGGGAAAAAAGATCGTTTATAAAGATTATTGGACATTCACCACCATGGGAACACTAAATCAGTTGTCACAGAATTTGTGTCCAATATTTAATATTTTTTTCTTTTTTAAAAAAATTTCTTTGTATTAATATTTCATATACGATAACCAATTTATGAACAAGTTGACCGAATTCTTTTTAACTAAAAGTCTTCATTAATAAATAATAAAGAAATTAATTAGTCTCTAAAAAAAGTGCAAAAATCCTGAAATTGACCAAAAGTCACGTTGAGTCGTGGAGGTATGAATTAGAAGATTTAAAATAGAAGAAATTAAAATTTTATTTAGATGAGAAACCGAAAATAACGAAATTAATGATTTAAAATGAATATTAATGAATTTTATAATCATGATACTGGCTTTAAAACTTGGAGAGTTTTTTTAATAAAAAATTTTATAAGGATATACATATTATTAATTGTTACATTGATTTATAGGTTGATTTTATAAGAATTGTTTATTTGTGAAATTGGGCTTAGTTATAAATGACACATCGACTAATTTTGGTATATTTATTATGTTCAAGTAAGTGTTCAACATGCAAATATATTTCCAAAATTGACTGTTTACAAATTATTTAGTATATTTATAATATTTAAATTAAAAAAAAAAGGGTTTCTTTACTATTTTTTGATTATGTAATATAATTCATTAGGTAGCGATGGTAGCATACTATTTTGCAAATAGGAATTAAAGAACAAAAATGCAATTAGCTGAAGTCAAACAGTAAATCATAGAATTAGAAAATACAAGGCTATGCAAAGAATTAGAAATTAGTTTTTGACTTAATAAATAAAATTGTTGTATTTAAAATACTATTTGTATTTTGTTATTATTATTCGCCATGGTATTGTTATTTATTTGTATGCTAAAATTCATACATGTATGATTTCTTATAAGTCTGTATGAAAACCATACAGTGCATACATAAAAAACGGGTTTAAGTAACTCGGTACGGGTTGATCAATTCCAAAAATTCCGTACCGTACTCGTCCTATGATACATACTAATGTATTATTGAGCCACAGTTGATAAAATGCTTTTTTTTTTCATGTGATATCCAAATAACTATTATATTAAATGGATTTTAATGTCCAAATATTAAATGGACACTGATATTCAAATATTAAATTGACATTGCTGTCCAAATCCCTATAAAAAAATTGGATACGTTTTTTATAAAGTTTTTATACGATTTTTTTTCCTTAGAAATAACATCATAATAGGATACGGAAAAATGCACAATTCCGTATCACCAAAAATATGGTTTGGATACGGAATTTGCACGGGATTTATATGGAATTTACATGATTTGATCACTGATTTTATCACGAAATTTATACGATTTGGTCACTGAATTTACTATTTGTATTACAGTTTACTATAATTGTATTTACATAAATCTAATTTCACTTTATTAAATTAAATAAAAAATAAAAAATAAACAAAGTACAAATACATTATGAAAATTCCCTCTTTATTAAAACCACCTATTGCAACCTAAATTATCTATAAGTTCAGGTTCATTTGTAGTCAAACAACCTAAAAGAACAAAAAAAAAAGATTGGAAACAAAACCCCCATCTGCAATCGTCCAAGTCACCAAAGGTCAGCATTCCTA